TAGGGTAGTGGACAGCTTTATCTCCTTCAACGGAGTGAATAGAATCGCCAAGGCCCGTTCTGTGTTCAACTCAGGGACCTCTGGGGTGGACGTCCCATTAGCCTGCCGGTGGAAGGATTAAGAGCGCGTCCGCTGTTGCTTCGTGGTTGTGATGCTTGGCTGTCGTGTGTTGAAGGCAAGAAAAAATTGCTCATCTCTGACCATCGATGTATTGGAAACATTGTACTTATATCACAAAAACACTCTATGAGCAATGCTAATGTGCTACTAATGGTTTTTAGAAACAAACTAACTGATGAGTTGATTCGGGTGCGCCGCTTACGCTAGTTTAGTCATATGCTCCTTATGCCAGGTGATCGATTGCCTCGACGTGCCTTGTTTGCCGACGAAGGGTCCGACCAGAGAATATCACGAGGTGGACAGCACGTGAACCGCAGACGGAGCAGCAAAGACAATGCCACAACAATGTTTGGTGGTAGTCACCGAAAGGGTGATCTCACGCAGCTAGGCTATGCTTCCTCACCACTAGCCAGCTACGTTCTGGCTTAAACCGCCGGCTACCATAACTTGTGGTGACCCGAACCACCACACTTACGAACACGGCTCACAGTTATCCAATTTAGCTGCCACTCCATTGGTATGTACATCGTTGCTTGTGTGGATAGATTTGGGAATTTCTAATGGAGGTTTCGTCTTGTGGGTGCAGTCAGTCGATGGTGCGAAACCGAGAAGAGCTGTACAACTGTTTCATTCTCATTGGAAATCCAAGATCTCACACCACCAGCAATCATAGTGCTTATCAGCCTCTCGTGGCCACACGGTTAATTGTTCTTACGACTAATCGGGAGATTGCGAGTTCGAAACCCCTCGATTCGTGAGATGCGCACCCAATAAGGACGAAACCGTTGTGCAGCGCTTCTTGGCACAGATTGGTTCAACTTACAGGACGAAGTCTCTCTTTTAAACAGTGCGTTATCTCGTTTTCTCATCCCGATGTACTAGCAAAATAGACTTTGGCATATCTACTTAGTCGTGAATGATAGAACAATACAAATTTAACGGTGTATACCACTGATGCAACACGCGAGTGGGGTCTGGTCACGTGTGAAAGCCCCATCCCCGCATCTGATGGAAGGTTAGCACGGGAATTGTGGAATCGCTTTGTAGTGTTTGTTCATTAATGTTTGGAGAAAGTTCAAGAGGAAGCATGAGAATGCATACTTTTTTTTAAAAAAAGCATGCAAATAAGATTTTTACACTCGTCTCTAGCGTATAACCGCTTAACTTGTGTTGATCAATAAATCACTTCGCATTGAGAGGAATTTCTTCTTCCATATGATCTCTTCACAGTAAATTCTTCACTTGAGTTGGCCTACTTTCGAGGGATCGCTATTACATTCTAGCTTCATTTGGCTGAATTTTGGTCTCAGAATTATCGGCCTTTTTCGTAGCGATAGGCCATGTGCCCCACTCAATGCCATGATGCACGAACACGAGTTTTGCATCCCAATTTTTGTTGAGAGAAAAAGTTGTTCTGCAGGGATGTCTAACGTGGTCTTTGTTGGGAGTTGGTGGGTAGTGTTCTCTCAAAAGATAGCCGTATTTCGTGGGACGAGTGTGATCTACCATTGGGGTGAGGGGTGGTCTCCTCTGGGGGGAACTTTTCGCGAGGACTATCGAACTTCGCTACAACACCAAGAATTTCATGGGAATTGTGTTGTTTCATTCTGTCCTACGTCGGTCTCACGTTCAGCCAGCAGTTTGATGAAATGCCTCATTGAATAATGGTGTCATGTCAAATCCAGAAGAGTTCACACATGTGTAGGGTTTTTGAGGATGGTAGGCTGTTTGGAGTCAATTCGGTAAAACAGATCGATTGACCTATTATCTACTGAGGAGTCAATCACCAATCGTTGGGGATATTTCCTTTGTAATCATGAACAGCTCCGCACTGCCAAACGGGAGAGTTCCTCGTGGATGGAAGGAGTGCCGAGTAGTACAGTGAATCTTTGAAGATTTTTTTACCCTTGTATTCAATGCTTATTCATATGGTCCTTTCTGCTCCATTCCATTTATCCTCATCCCGTGTGGTCAAAAGGTGGATGGTATGTAAGCATTGTACCTCGTGGAATGCGTTGTGTGCGTGCTTTGGACAAACCTGCCGATGTCTGGTTCGATTAAGAAACAATCTACTGCTGTTGGTTCACTCGAAACCGGTCTGGTTGTGCCTTGACTTTAGTGCGTTCATTGAATAATCATATAGGTGTGCTCCAGTTCGTGGTTGCTTTCGAGAGATTTACTCGAGTGAATTGTTCAGACCCAGACCGAATGGGGTCAAGTCTTGGAGTGCGTGAAAACTCAGTGTTACTCCATTCAGCAAGCTATGGGGGACTCTGAAAACGTTTTCTTAACAACAAATTGGCATACGATGTACCAAATCTTTGCGAACTGCAACAAAACTCTCTGAACTCTATTTGGTTCGTTCACCAAAACTGGTGTCTTGTCGTTGGAGCCCCGGTTCTGTTAGGTATCCTTCAAACACTGGAATTCCATTTCGGTCCGAAAACCAATCGGCTTTTAACATTCAGAACCATCCTTTTATATGATAAATCTACTTTATTTGACCCTGCTGGCCATTTTACCTGCCAGGCGAGGGTGTAACCAGTGTAACACGGTGGATATTACTGATGAGGCATGCGAGTAGTATGCGGTCTCCTCGTAACTCCGCCCCACGTCTAATGGAAGGTGCACCCCTTGTGGAACTGCGTTGCAGCGTTCGTTTACAATTGAGGAAAGCCTTCCACCTTACACCAGTACTCCACCAGCGCACCTCAACTGTCACACCTGAACGAGGTAACGTGCTCGCGCGTGATCGATGTGATTGGTTCTACCCGACTCCTGCTCGGATGATGATCCAGTAAGTGTTCTGTGTAAGTCACCAGAATAAATGCAGCATGACAGGAGGATAAATGTTTTGGACGTATATTTCAAGAATTTCACAAACACCTACAATATATCCGTTGTTCTTCGCAATATAACAAAGCGAGTACTTAAGCATGAGTGAGATCCCATCCAAAAAATTAACTAGCCGGTATAATTCGAATTCACTGGTTTCCAAAAGGAGCATCAAATCAGAATAAACCTTAGCAAGTTAGAGTAGATAAGGAGGGGCGCCTGGCGATTAGTAATTCATTGGCATTGGTAATACAAATGCGTTATAGATGGGTCTCATATTTACGATCCTTTAAAAAAACATTTTCAGCTCATTTGTGGCTTGATTTCGATACTTAACATTTTTCTTCTATTCGTGAACTGTGCTCCTTCACGGAGGAACGGCGATATATCCGCCGACGGAATATCAACTTGAGGGCTATCGATTACTTCTACACGTTTATTCTCCTGATTGCCTTAGATCGCGGAAAGGGGGAGGTTTAAGGGCTTAGTGATTGTTCCAGTTTAGGTCCATCCGAACGATACAGCTCTCTTTTCAGGCACTGGAGAACCCCTCAAGAAAGTTCACATATTACCAGAAGATAACATGTGGTAGCCGATGAACTACTCTAGGGTTGACAAGATTATTGGGCACCAATCTGGAGGGGCCTTTTTGTCATTCTGTGTGAAGTTCTCCCCGAAAAGAACAACTACGGGTTGCTTGACAAAAACCCCTTTTTTGTATTCAACCGATGCACACTTTTTGTGGAGCAACCAAAGTAAGTTTAGGGATCATAGCTCACCTGATCTGTGAGGCTTAACCACTGAGCTATCTCAAGATCTGTGCGAATAGCTGCCGGCCATTGCACCTCCGTATTCAAAGATCCAAGTTTTTGACGTTTTCTTGGCTGTACTGGACTGAGGCCGGATCGAACAAACACATTACAGACTTACGGCCAACAGATGACCTCCCGAAAGACGTTACTTTCGGACTAAGGCCTGCACCCTTCATCATCATGAACAACATAACATCAGTGTTCAACACTGATGCTTCTCTGCCTGCAGTATCATGGCTTGTCAGATATCTTTGTAATCTAGGAAGAGATGGAGCAAACTGATTCGTCATCACTTTGCTGCTCGATGAGATGAGCTGAACAAAGTGATCCGTTTCGTTACATGTTGAGCTAATTAATTTCTGTGCACTACTTAGGCCCAGCCGACAACTATAGTCGGATAAGATTCTGCGTGGATACATCAGAAACCATCGTGGTGTCAACTCTGCGTGAGGGTGCGGAGTATACCCTGCCTAGCACGTAGATTCTAACCTGACGTCTACTTTGCCTTAGGTGGTTCACTGATGTGACGATTGATCTGTAACGACCAGAAGGTGAATCACTGAATCAGTGTCTTTCCTTTCTGGGTGTGAATGTTAGCCGATTCCTGGAGGTCTACCATAAATTCCTTCAGAGCCGGTGAGCACCTGGGGGAAATTCAACATTTCCTGATATCATTATGAAAGCCAAAAATTGTTACAGACTGTGAATCTCCTGGCTAACGTTGTTAATTATTTTTATGTTGACAATAATTTTGGATTAGCGTCTGCTGTTTTGATATCGGATCTAAAAAGGGGTCTTGTGATCGGCATACGTAGTTTTTCATCTTAGGTTTGCAATATTTTGGTCGAAAATCCTGTGTACCTGTGTGATTTTGCATACTTTTTACCATTTCTACAGATTTGGTGGGTTTCTTCAGATGCATGTTAAGTAATTTACTAATGTAACGGTGGATACTACTGATGGGTAGTATGTTTTCTCGTAAATAAGTTTCGCGTCTATTGAAAAATGAGATCTATTGCGGAATTTGTGGGGTCGCTTTGTAGCATTTGTTTGCAATTCAGGGACAGTCAATGAATATCCAGAAAAGTTCAGGAAGGCGCGTTCAAGGAGAAGGTGGATATTCAGTTTTGTAAACAAGATGCATATGAGAGTTTTGCTCCCGTGTCCAATGATTTGTGACTGTTCAGTTGGTGTTCCTCTAACAAACATTTTCACGGCAAAGGCCTTCTTCGTCTCACTAGTAGTTCGTTGAATTTAATGTGAGAAACTGCAAGTCTTCAGGTGAATCGGCCTAATTAACCGGTCAGTCTTGCCGTGTGTGAGGGTACTAAGATCCCCGCATCCTGCATCTGATGGACCCGTACTCAAAAAAATAACTTGTCATGCTTGTGACTACTTAGTGGAGTGTTTCTAAATTTGATCTAAGTACCTTTGCAAAGCGAGACTTCTGCTTTTCATAAACGAAACTACTCACGAGGTTGCTGATTACTGTTTGACAGCCCACGACCATTTTTGGTAGGTAGGCGTAGCAGGCGCATCATCGGGTAGGCGCAGTCCCGGAGTTTCCGTCAACGTTATGTTCTACTTGAACCCAATTGGGACTGATTTCGAACTGTCGAACAGTTTTCAGCAACCTTGTGAGTAGTTCCCTTTATGAAAATATACTGCGATATCTCGAATATCGTAACAACTGAAACATCAGGCGACCTGTGTGCAACACATTCAGTTTTGAGGAACATCATAAATTAGCGATCCACTTGAGTTTCTTCTGAAAACCAGACTGATTTTCAAATGAGTGTATTTGTCGAGACTGCTTGTTTTGAGACATGGCATTGAAATTTCTTCAGAAATGATTTTAGACTACTTTTGAAATCTGAGTAGATGGCTGGGGCTTAGGTGATTCAGGCTGTTTCTTTGTCGGCCGTTACTAGCTATTTTCCAAGTTATCATATCCACAACAGATTCCCGTGACAAAAACGTCAGCTGTATGGTATCCTTTTGAAACGCCACTTAAGCGAAAGCGCAATTTTCAAGTGGCGCTTATCAAAAGTCACACCAATCAATGTTACTGCGCCCAGAGATATGCCGGTTTCTACACCTGTTTGACACCTGCATTCAAACTGGATTTGTCAATCGGATACAAAAATCAATCTCTTGCGCACATTTGTGCCAAGTGGAATACGTAAGTCCTACGTACTACTAGCGATGCTGTTGCTAGTGAAAAGTCCGTTGCAATTTTGAGTTTTTGGATTTTCGTGCACGTGGAGAGCATTTAAAGTAGTGTATTTTCCGATTCAAGGTGTTTGGCAGCCTTCATTGTTCGCCTATCCAGATAAACCGTTGTCAGTAAGAAACATCTGAACACGGCGGTCATACTATGCTTCGTGTTCTAAATATTCCGAGCTTCGAGTTCACCGTCTATTCAGGAAAGTTCTTGTCGTGTGTGTGCAGTGTGGTGAAAAGCTTGGGTGTGCGAATACACCCACTCAACATCTACGCCATCCGCATTATTGTGAACCATTTCACGGGCGCCAGCGGAAACGTTATAATCTGTAAGGTAAGGAAAATTGGGCAAGCTCACGCTTGCTTTCATGTGCGAACTCGGCTTCAGGATATTTGGACCAGCCGACTGGCAGCCAATATGAGTGCGTCAATCCTGCATAAGAATTCCGTTTACCAAAATGGGAAGTGGTGGTCTTCTAGTTGGGATTGGGAGTTCTCCCATCCTGCTCACTCTGGGGTACATGGCCCTTGAGTTTTCAATGAATAAAAATCGTTCAGCCGTAAAACCTTTTCGGCGATTGGCTGCCATGCTACTCTAATGACGTACGAGGGCCGGGATACTACCAGGTTGTCCAAGCCTAGACAGGGCAAGTCGAGATGCAGTGGTCACGTTCGAACCACGGACCTTCAGTCAGTTAATTCGCTCTGTAACAACTGAACCATCTCGCCCTTGAAACTAAAACCGACAAAAAGAGTTCAGGTGATCGTTCACATTGGTCACTGCAAAATCTAAGGAATCACCCATTTTAAACCGTAGAGGAACAACTGTTCAGCTGTAAGACCCTTTCGGCGTCTAGCTACCTTGCCATCTGAAGGAAGCGCAAGGACTGAAATACTGTTGTGTTGGTCTAGCGAAGGACCGTTCCAGATGACGGGTTTGTACGCGGACCAGTAAATTTGTGCTTTATCTAGACCCCAATACCCATTGTGCCTGTAATCCGATCCATTCGGAAGAGGAGGTCAACCTCCCGTATGATCGAAATCACACTAATCAGATCGAGCATGATGATTGGAACGTGAGGACCAAATGACTTTGAAAAGCAATCAAATCAACTCAGCGATCGTACCCACGTCTATCTGCACTTCCACACTATCCCATTGTTTTTCTCCTCTGGCTGTATTCGGAATTCAGTGTACTGGTGACACTCTGTCGGTTTTTTGAACCCATGTTTTTCAGTGACACCTGACTGCATTTTTCCCGTGATCCATTTAGTTTAATCCCAGTGTCCAACAGAAGCAATGCTGTGAATCAAGCAGATGATTTGGAAAAAAGCTGAATCCACCTAGAGTGCTCTCGTCCATATGGACTTGTGCCACATGTGATATATGTATATATATATATATATATATATATATATATATATATATATATATATATATATATATATATATATATATATATATATATATATATATATATATATATATATATATATATATATATATATATATATATATATATATATATATATATATATATATATATATATATATATATATATATATATATATATATATATATATATATATATATATATATATATATATATATATATATATATATATATATATATATATATATATATATATATATATATATATATATATATATATATATATATATATATATATATATATATATATATATATATATATATATATATATATATATATATATATATATATATATATATATATATATATATATATATATATATATATATATGATTAGCGTTCTGGGTGGTCGAGCCGGTCCACTCATTTAGAAAAAACTGCTGGAGCCGTGACGGGTATGCAAATGATTCTAATCGGTCGGTACCTGCCTGACGCCGACACCCTGAAGATGACAAAGTCTCTAACCACAGGTTCAATGGAGTGGCACCTTGTTGATGTGCTGATTGGAAGTTCCTGGTAACACTTGCATGGTGCCATACAGGGGAGGAGCTGTACCACAGTGAGACGTTAATGAATGGGAGCAGGAGGCCACTGCCTCGACTGGCGCTGGCTTCATTCATTTGGCACCATGCTTAGGCCAGGTGATGGCTTCCAACAGGCGTCGGCAAGTTTACCCAGAAATTTCATTCCCTGGACTCCAAATGCGCGCCAAAAGCCTACTTGAAACAAAACTCAGGGTTCAGCACAACGGCGCTCAGGAGCACTGTGTATGACCCTGGCCGCATAAGTTAAGGAGCGAATAAACGTCATCTCAAACCTTAGGGGAAAACGTTGGAGCTCACAATGTAACCAGCCATACTGAATGAACTGGAAAAGCACTTGGGTGGCGCGCTGGCCAATTAAATCTTCGGCATTTCTGTCGCACAGGTTTTATCACCCACATCATGCGCTTAACAGACAGAATGAAAATTTTTGTATGCAGTGACCTACTGATGTATTGAACAGAGATTTCGTCCTGTCGGTGAACCCAATCTAGGCGGAGAAGCCGAGAAGCACTGTCCGTTCTCATTATATGAACCGTTGCCATCTCCGAATACTCAGGTTTCCGAACCAGCATCCTTCCGGCAATGGCTCAACAGCAGTGCGATTAACTCTGACGGGACGTAGCGCCACACATCCTTCAGTCGTGGAAACCACATCATGTGTGAACACGCATGGGCTGGCAAATCGAATGACGCAAGGAAGTTTCACGCATCCAAAGGAATCATCGGAGGAAAGGTAAATATCCTGGTGTAACGGTGATACTAGTGATGGGGAAGCATGTGAGTAGTATGTTTCTGGTAAATCCGCTTTGCGTCTATTGAAAAGTGAGATCTATTACGAAACTTGTGGAGTCACTTTCTAGAACTTGCTTGGACTTGAACAACATTCAATGAATATCCAGAAAAGTTCAGAAGGACGCGTTCAACGAGAAGATGGATATTCAGTTTTTGTAAACAAGATGCATATGTGAGTTTTGCTTTCCTGTTCAGTAGTCTGTAACCGGTCAGTTGGCATTTCCGAATAAATAACTGCACAGCGAAGGTCTTCTTTCTTCCACTGGTACCTTTCTTGCACTTGTCGGTTGTCTGCTTGAAGGCCCACCGTACAGTTTTTTGTTGTTTCTGAACGATCACCACGTAATCTGATGCTGTTTTCTATTAAATATTAATTACCCCGGAAGTCGTTCACGTTGTTGACGGCTGACGTGGTACCAGTAAAAAAGTACTGTAGATGCTGAGTTTGGTGTGGTCCCTTCTGAACTGATTTCGACCGAACACATGCGGAGTCCCGTGCTGCAGACCTTAGTGGCTAAAATGTGATTCAGTGGCAAAACTTTATGGCCACATTATGATGATGGGTTCAGTTTCTTGGCTTGGCCGGCGGGAACGAAACTCCCGTGACAGAACACGAAGTTGGCGCTCGACACCGCTTTGTCAAGGGATCGGAATGTCTGCATTTTAAACATTGTTCCAAAGATTCTACCCAGAAAGATTGTGAGAAAAAACGCTGTGAAAAAGCTTAAATATTATTTTACTGAGAATGGGGAGTACGCAGTAAGAACCGACGATAGTATACTCCTGGCACTGGAAAAAGTTTGTACGAACAGAAACGTACAATCCGGTTTCAAAAGCGAACAGTCACAGGAAAACGCTTAAAGCTCAGGTTATTCGAGTCCCCATAATTTTGCTTCCATTTTTGCAGCTAAAATATCTGAGTTGGTACTTTCAATAAAGACTACACCCAATGTGAATACACAAAAATTCGAAAAAATCAATAATTAGCATTCACGAAAATTGATCGAAAACAGTCGCTTAATTTCATCTCGGTTTTTCATCACTTGTTTCTTCACTCCCCTCACCTTTAGACATCTTCACTACAGAGACCTGAAGTGATAGTGACGGAAAAAAAATAAAATTGCCTTTCAATTCACGCTGAAGCGGTTTCATTCAATGAAAGATTTCCTTCGAATCAATAGAATTCATTGATAGTTCTGCTGAGAAAGCTGAAGAACAACCCACTTTGGCAATTTTTATCTGAATTTCGATCGCAGATGGCTGAAACAGACGTAAAAATCTTTGCATAATTGTTGTGTGTAGTACATTGCAGGAGCACGTTTTATGACAAGTTGTTGGAAATCTTTGATTGGGGCCTACTTATTCTGCAGGGTGGACGAGTTGTAACCTTAAGTGCCGTGTTGACAACACTATTCAAGTTTCTTGACCAATCAGATAGATGACTTACGACATGCGCGCTCCATAGCTGTGCGCTTGCAATCTGTTGTCGTAAACAACCAAGCGTGGGCACCTTGAATTAACTGAGTTCACCCTACGAAACGTATTTCAAATGTACAACGACTGTTTAAATAGTATACTGATGAGAGCAATCAAAGTAGTCCCTCCAGATGAGGGGTACTCATGAATGATATTGAAAAAACATATCACACAGTTCAATCCAGTGAGTGCTACTCAGCTCAAGAGAACGAATTCACGAGTTAAATCATACTTCAGGAGGGTTATCCGGGGTGTCTCAATGAAATTCACAGTCCAGCCAGAACTCAGGAAAGCCCTGGTTCATCTGGCTATTGAAGTGAATACTTCAGTCCACTACTACTTCAATACAACATTTCAAAAGCGACCTTGTCAACACCGACGGAACAAACAATTAGTCCCTCTAGATGAGGGGTACTCATGAATGACATTCAAAAAACATATCACACAGTTCAATCCAGTGAGGATACAGTACTACTCAGCTCAAGAGAACGAATTCAGGAGTTAAATCATACTTCAGCAGTGTTATCCGAGGCGTCTCAATGAAATTCACAGTACAGCCAGAACTCAGGAAAGCCCTGGTTCATCCGGCTATTGAGGTGAATACTTCAGTTCACTACTACTTCAATACGTCATTTCAAAGGCGAGGTTGTCAACACCGACTTACAACGCGATCTCACTCATGCGTTAAAATGAGCGAGATCTCACTTTATCATAAGAGAATTTTCTTTGCGCGGGCGTGAGCATTGATCGTCTTGTCTGTCTGCCGGTCTACGGGTTATCCGGAGGCTATAGAGACGTCTACATCGGCATAACAGACGGGTTCCTAGCGAATCGTGCGGCATAGCTCATACCAAAATATATGGTCCAAACGCTGTCAGAAAGACCGTTGGGTCAAAGGTCAAATCACACTTCAACATCGCCAACAGCCGGGCATTGTTAGATAATGGTAGCCGCATTGACCCGGTCAAGTCCTTCCGAAACTTGTTGTTCAACCCAAGCCCAAAGTTTTAGCGATAAACGAAGCATTGCTGGTCAAATCGAACCAGCCCAGACCACGTGTGCAAAAACAGTTGGGGCAAACAAGTTCCTTGTCCTGGTGTAACGGTGATGCTACTGATGGGGAGGCACGCGAGTAGTATGTGTTGTTCGTGGAATTTCGCTTTGCGTCTCTTGAAAAGGGGAGATCTGTTGCAGAATTTGTGGAGTCGCTTTGTAACCTTTGCTTGAATTTGAGCGAGGAATGATTGGAGTCAATGAATATCCAGGAAAGTTCAAGGAGACGCGTTCAGGAGAAGATGGATGTCCAGTTTTTGTAAATAAGATGCAAATGAGAGTTTTGCATCTCTGTCCAATAGTCTGTAACCGGTCAGTTGGCATTTCCTAACAAATAACTCCGCAGCGGAAGCCTTCTTCTCTTCACTGGTATTGATCAGGTGACTCGAAGAGGTCGTTCGATGGGCATGTGTTCATCACTGTTTCTGTATAACTCGCATGTTTCACTTTCGCGTGCCTGCGTTGGTTAGTGCTCAAGAACAATCGATCTTTAGACACGAATAGCTGAGCAAGCACGAAAGAGTGACATTCCGTTTCTACGCCAACTATCTTTTCTCAAAAATGCTGAATATTTCCGTTGGGTCATGTGATCTTGAACAGAGTGAATGCTATTCAGACGGAAACGACCATTTGTCTCGACAAGATTGGGATGGTTCAACAATGATTCATCGGTTCCACAGAGGTAGGTTTGAACCCCAATCATTCCTATCGCACATGTTTGTTGTGAGCTTCTGTCAGGCACTGCCTATAACAAGCAAGAAGCGTTTCGTCTTCACCGGTGGGGGGCGATTTGAAAGATGTAAACAGTCACCTGTAGCTGATTGTCAGCCTTGTTGGTCAACTGATTTAGGACATGTCTGTCTGCCCTGCTTCCATGCGGATGCTTGTAAGCACTTTTTGAGGGGACCGGCGTAGGTGAGTTTTTGTTTGCCGATGTAAAGTATATCCCCGTGTTGTGAACCAACTTCTCACAGGTTGCAATACTGATCTTCTTGAAGGTATTGGTTACTTCCGGAGGAAGCGCCTCGAAGAACGTATCTGAAGCAATCAGCACTTATGCATAGCCATCAGGCTGTTGTACTTTCTGCACCATTGTAAGACAACGAGACCTAAATGCTTTACGCACGGCAAAGTTGGGTTGTCAACCGATCTCACATGTATTATCCGGTCAAATGATTGATGGAATGCCGCACAGCAAAGTCCTTTGAAGTACGAAAGCTGTTGGAGTTGGCCGCAATTTAATTCAAAACCAACACTATCGGTTTGACCTCATCAATAGTATCCACCGTTACACCGGTTTGACCACTGAAAACTAACGGCCCAAACTCGAATCCTAAGGTAACACGTTTCCGGTCAGCTGAACTAATGGATTCGGAAATTTTGGTATTGAGACACCCATTGGGGAGTTTTAAAAGCTGAACTGCGTGGTTAGTGAAATATCACCACATAATCCATTACCACGTTGACAATTTGTTGACGTGTGTCTCCCGGTAAAAATTGCATGCTACTGCACTGTACGAAGGGTGGTAGGACACTGAAACTTGGACGCCGGCACCTGAGTGATAAATAGGTGACTGTCCGTTGCAATGCTATCACTTTTGGTCCGGTTGATCGCTTACCACAGGCCTCTGCATGCTTGCCCGTCTTATTCCCTCGAGTTTACATTCTAACCAAGGCTTTGTACGCATCTTCGCATTCACCCCGCTTAGTCTGTCCGTGAAATTTTAAGATACGCTTGAGTTCAGTGCTTTAGTTGGCGGTTGACGGGCAGATCCGAAACGGATGCCCATGTTTCACACACATATGGGTGGCCTGCCTCAAGTATCATGAATTTCACCATGCTACGAACTGTTTGGCCGCCTGGTAATGAGCAAAAGGATGGCAAATCATTGTTGCTTGACTTCTACTCCTGTCAAAGAACCTGGCCTAGAAGAACACGCAATAACTCTTGCATCTTTCCATAAACCTTTGTTTAAATGAATGGGAAATTTTTAAGAGTTGATTTAACAAGCCCAGTGGTTAATTGGCCTTTCTGAGCTGTCAGCCAATCCACCTCATAACATTTACTTCGCGATTTAGATCAAGATGTTCTCTGAACAGCAGTCAGTTCGCTGCTGTCCCATATTTATACAATCCACAATAGAGGTAATTGCACATAATCTGGACGGTCCTACATACCACAAGACCAACCACGTGCGAAAAATGTCAAGGTAATGAACGCTGATTGGTTGTTGGTTGGTGTATAAACATTGGAAATTGTTTGACAGAATACATCAAGCAATATAATGTATTTCTTGTGCGACAAAAAATTCTGTTGAACCTATCAATTCTCAACTGATAAAACGATGGTCCTTGGATACGACCGTCATTTGGAAAGAGTTGTTCAATTTGGCTCTTGGAAGCGTTCTTCCCAGGGGCAAATCTACCTATAAAGACAATTTAGCTCGGTCTTTTGCGGTGGAAGCGTTAGGAATGGAGGAATAAACCTGTGATCTTGGGCACCACGAAACATCCTTGCTACATTACTTCGCCATATTTGTCCATATACTGGACACCTGTTCTTTCGTTTGCTAAACACCTTGAGGTTTAATTATATTCAATACATATTAGTCGTGAAGGAACATAACTTACTGTGTTCCGAACCTTCTGGTGACTTGTTGACTTGAATGGTCAGATTTTAGAGTGGGACGAAAAAAATAGGTAGTTTGCTTAATCTGACACAAAATTCTCTACAAAACCGATGATGAATTTACTGGCTTTAAAATGATGTGAGTGGCTCTGGGATACACAGAAGTGACATACATAAAGATCCCATCTGTACACCTCTATTCTGGTGCGACTAAAACCAAGATTGGATGCATTGGAGTCGAGTTTCACTCCTATTGGAGTTCTCTATATCGGTGGCTGGATTCGAACTCTGGACACTACTCAACACTACTCATCAGCGTGCGCTTGAAGCACTTGAACAGTCGAACATGCTCGTGCCACCTGACTGGGAAGTCCTGACAGGCGATCGGCACAAGCGGGACGGTTGCTAGATCGTTGTTGGAGTCTTTTGGGCAAACCAATCACGTCGCTCAAGCGTGAAACTTCCATCTGTTCACAATTCGGACTCGCCCAGTATTCGCTTGTGGAATTGTGGTAACGCGCCTGCTTCACATCTCTGTATTCAGTCGTCCCAACACCATCAGGACCAAGGATGATGAGCTGTAGTGAGGAACTCGGGTTCAGTGCTTCCCCCCTTTTGACACTGACTCACCAGAATCATGGCACTAGCGCTGGAGGAAGGCTGTTTAACGATGGTGTTGTGAATATCAAAGGCATTACTTGCATTATATATCCGGTATCTTTATTAAATTTAAAACGCGCGGAAGAATCAGCATCACAGCAAAAATCAAAACGAAACCTTTGGACTTCTCCTGTCAACTGTCTACTTGCGACCATGCCCAAGGGTAGACCAGGTTCACAGGTGAGCGTACACCCAGTGACCAAAAGCCACAGTCAAGGTGAGATTGTATGATGGAAACATGGCTCTGAGGTAAACAGGGGCAGCTTGATCG